AGCCTGAGGCGCGAAGTCTCGCCGTAACCGAGAAAAATCGGTTCACCCTCCCATAAAAAGTTATCACTTTAAAAACAGGATGAAGATATAAATGTTTGGAAATTACAAAGTAAAAACATATTTACTCACTACCTTAATTTCTTCCTATGTCACGGAATAGCCATTGTTTCGCTAATAATAAGATAAGTATTATGAATGAAAAATAACAACTTAATACATTTAATGGTAACAGGTACTCAATTGAATATATTTACTAAAGCGATATGTACCTATTCAATCTTGTGCTACCATGATAAGGAAGCTTGTGAAAGTTTGGCTTCTGTTTTAGGATTAAAATAAAGGACTTGCATTTAAATAGAAGCCGCTCTAGTTAAGTATATGAAAATGAAAATGCCCAAAAAAAACAGACACTTTGAATGTAATAGTACAGCATCTAATTATTTTGTAGATATATACATTTTCATTTTCTCCGAATAGTCTCCCACGTTAGTGCACATGTCCTTCTCATTCAGGTTTCCTCATTGAAATTTCGTAATTTCAAAATATTTTTGAGAAGCACCTGAATAATTGATCTAATGAATGTTAATGATCAACATTTTTTTCGCCCCCGTAAAGTCCCTATCGTGAGTTCAACTATCGATCGTCCACCAACTGCGAAACGTCAAATTACTCGTTGTCGAGTGACAGTTGAGACTTGTCAAACTTGATTATTTATTGGAGTTCATGACATTTATAACATAAAACAATACTTACACACTTTCCGATCTGTTTCTATTTCTTGCAAAAATTGATTAGAACAAAACAAATCACAATAAGATGTAAACAACAATGTCAACAAGATATGTGTCAAATTACTACTTCACTTGTAGTTCTAATTTTATCCACCAGGGGGCCTATGGACTTTTGAGCTCGCGAATAGGAATGCTAAATATGTCCTTGTCATGGTAAACGTGACGCCAGCTCCATTGAGGGCTTCAAAAATTCAAGTATCATTCACTTAATTCTAAGACTCATACCAATAATTGATAAGGCAAATCTGTATCAACTATAAGCAACAGTAGCGTACCCAAAAAACACAAAACTATTACGTTAATATACAGGGTGATTCAAATTTGGCGCCATTCCTTTTAAAGGGTTATGGAGGCGCACTTGGCGAGTACGTGAAAAATATTGAAATATTTTAGAAGATATTGACAGTTGAAGATCGAATTTCAACTTTGCTATTAAGCATTATTTTGAAGTTGTTCCATGTTTAATTGGTAGCATATTGGAATGCTTAAGCATTCAAAAAGAAAAATTACGATCTTTGCTTCAAGTTACGAAAATTTCCGATATTGAAAAAGTTCTGTTCTACAATTTTTGATGAAAAGGCACAGCGGCAATGATGTTTTTTGCCATTAATAGATAGTTACAGGTGGATAGCCCTTGTCAATGATAACCATAATTCGTCAAACTGTGACTTACTTTGAATTTCCTTTCACGAATTTGCTGATATGTGATTAGTTCAGTTCATTAGTACATTCCTACCACGTTTGTACGATACACACAGCACAAGGAGATACAAATGGAGCAGGAGTTAATTAATTGAATACGAGAAGCTGCTTGATAAGAGTGG